GCATCTAAGGTATCATTAATTTAAGTTTCTACTAATTATTTTTTTAGTTAAAACAAAACGATTTATTTTATTAATAAATTTAAAAAAATATTATTATAATAACACTGGATTTTATTGTTTCTTTAAATTATTTAGTTATTTTTACTCTCTGAGTTTAAAAATGACATTAAACTTACTCATAAGGGTATAAATTTTCATTTTTTGAAAAAGATACTTTTTATTTATTTTTGACTATCCATAATGGTTTGTTTATGTTATCCATAATGTTATTTATTTTTGACTATCCATAATGGTTTGTTTATGTTATCCATAATGTTATTTATATTTTGACTATCCATAATGGTTTATTTATGTTATCCATAATGTTATTTATTTTTGACTATCCATAATGGTTAAACTTATGAGTTATGTATGCTTGCTAAAATTGCCTGATCTCTTTATAATTTCTTTTTCATTTACTTGTTTAAAATATGACAAATTAACATGCCAATTTTTGTTACATTTGTGTTACAATTTTTTTTACGTTAGTGGTGAAGTAAAATTTTTGTCACAGAAAAGAACCATGACACCTCTTGTGATGACTGCTCGCTGACATTACATATAGGCTGTAACACTTGTTTGGTTAAACTACACTTGTTTGAGATCTGGACTTGCCACAGAAAATAACAGAACTTTAGCAACAAAACTAAAGCAGCGGAATTTTCTCCATCTTGATGTCAAAGTTTCTCATTTCAGAAAACGTCAGCAGATTCTGCTGGTTTTTTTTTTTTAAGAAGACGAAAAATATTCTTTTTTTTTCATTGATGCCCTTGGACTGTATCAGTCCCTTTTTCCAATATTTTTCTTGTTTCAAGTGGTGTACGTAACAAATTATTTCACTCACTCTTTGTACATAACAATTTATTTAACTCACAATGCAAGTTAGAAGGGTGTTAGCTAGCCCAATGGCACCACGTATACTGCGGAATTCCCAACAGGTTTTAAATTCCCAAAATGCAATGACCTTTTTTTTTAAAGTAATAGGACAATAGACAAATAAAATATTGCAAAAAAGTGGTAAAAAAGTGGTATATTTCTGGCCTTGATTAGATACATTGTTATGTACAAAGCCACTCCAAAATAATGATAATTGTTCAGCACATAAGATATTTTAAATAGCTATTATCTTTTAGTTTGACTTAGTGGCAAAATTAAATATTATGTGTATTTTATTTTCTAAAAATACACTACTTAAGAAGATTATAATTATTAGATATATTATTTTATATATTAGATACTGATATATTATGTTTTTTTTTTTGTTTTTAAAAAAGAAGGTATTCTAATCTTATCAAGATATTATAAATATGTTACGACTATCATGATATATTTTTTATTCCATGACAGCTTCTTGACACTCAATTAAAATGTTTGAGCAATGACGATTTTGTTTTTTTTAAATTGAAAGTCAATATATTGTATAATATTGTATAATAATTCATTTGCTGTTTTTTTATAATTTTTTATTTTATTGTAATATTTATAATAGAGCAAATATTTTAAAGCAATTTTATTAAATGTTTTTTTAAATGCTGAAAACTGATGCTAAAAGATAAAAAGATTATAGAGTGAGAAAAGCATTGTGGGAAAAAGAAAAAGAAGTAATCAAAGAAAAAAGTTATTCACAAGAAGCAAATAAAGAAATCAGGCTATAAAACCAAAGATTAAAAATAAAAAAAAGATTTAGTTCAACACTGACCTAAGTTTACATTCTAAACATGACAATTTCTATTAATTCCTGTTTTTCTATTATTTCTGTCTCATTTACGCGAAATGTTACGTCTCAATTAGTTACAATTGGTAACAAGGTTACATTCTCTAATTTTTAATTAAATATTAAATAAATAAACTTAATAATGCAGTAAATGTTTGTTTATTATTGCTGTATTGCTAATTATCATCTTTTATGTTATTTTTATTGTAAAATAGCTTCGTCTCAATTGGTAACTTTTTAATAATAAAAAAAAATAGTTTCAATTCACAATGTTACGTCTCAATTGTGATTGCTCTTTCATTTTTAAAAATGTAACCAATTGAGACGTAATGTAACTAAATCTAGACTTGAGATGTAACTAAAATACATTTTAAATTTTTTTAACGCCACGTTATGTCTCATTTGGTTACACTTTTAAAAGTTAAAAAAAAAAAAAGACACAATGTAATATAAAAAAAATTAATATTTGTGACACATTTTAGTTACATTTCAATTCTTAAATATTTTGCATTAAGTTATGTCTAGATTGGTTTTAAAGGTAATAAAACAAATACTTAAGTACCTTAGATATTGCTTAAGTTCCTTAAGTTACTTTTAAATAAACTTTTTTTTATGTTTTAGCTACATTACTTTTAAAGCTTTATAAGTTTTATTTACCTTAAAAAAGTATTTTTTTTAAACTAACCCACAAGCTTGTGGGTTTTTTAAAATAACTTTTTTAATTACTTTTTTAATTAGTAGTTTTAACAAACTTATTAATGCATTCACAATATTCTATATATTTTATATATTAATAAAATTGCCAATAAAACAATTTTGTTAAATACCATAACTCAGTAATGAGTTATGATATTTAACAATGAGTTTGTCGAGACATTTGTAAAAAAATATTTTTTTAAAAATTGCTAATTATCATTGTTCATTTTTATTGTAAAATAGATTCAACTTAATTAGTTACTTTTTTTTTTTTACTAATTTGTCACAAAAAAAAAATAAAGTTTCAATTCTCAAAGTTATGTTTCAATTGTTTGTTTGTTTTTAAACTTGTAAAAGTGCAACTTTTAAAAAGTGTAAGCTGAGATGTAGTGCAGTGTTAAGAAAATTGATTTTTTAGAGGGTTTTTTTTGTCAATAAAACAAGTGTAATACTTCAAAAGTTTTTATAAACCCTCAAGCAAAATTGTAGATAAAATGTCAACCATTCTTATGTTTTAATCAAATGCATTAATTAGTTGTAACTGATTAATTGTATATTTTGAACATTCTAACATCCATTGCAATATCTGTCCATTTCCTTTGAGCTATCTTTCTAAATAAATCATATCTACCTTTCTACATAAATCTTATCTAATAAAGAAAAAAAAAACAGTATATTAAAAAGATACCATAGGTTACAATATTACATCTCATTCCTTTGCACTTAAAGTTATACTACAATGTTTTGTTACAAAGTACAATGTTATGTATCATTATGCTACAATATCTCGGTTATGTAAAAATTTTGTACGTAACATAAAGAATCTCGCTTATGTTACAATATATAAAATAACTTTAAAATGTTATAGGGGGAATATCATAAGTATTTATTTTAATGATTTTTTTTACTATTATTGCTGTCACGCAATTCTTTATATGAAATAAAACTTCTTTTATATGAAATAAAACTTTTAGGATAAATCAAGTTCTTCCTAAGAAAGGCACAGTATTAGAGAGCAGTTAGCTGATTATGACACTATTAAAGAATAATATTAGATATACACAATTAAAGAAAAAGTATGAATTTGCATTACATCTGAAGAAATTAAAAAATTAAAACCATTTTATGAAAGAATAGATGTAGCAATAATGTCTTTGAGAAGAAAAGATTATATTAAAACTGAAAAAAAAAAATTCTTAACAAAATTTTGTAATGGATCCTGTATTAACTTTAGTTAACTGCAATTAGCTGTGTTGCAAAGATAGCATAATAATTAAGTTTTGTGAGTTAGATACATAGTTAAATACAAAGCCACACTACCTGAAACATTAAAAGTGTTGGAAACAGGGACCAAGTGGATATATATATGTGGTTGTAGTTTTTATCAAGTTTTTTTGTTTATAAAATTCCCAGAAAGTTCCCTTTTCATTCATAAATGTAAAACTTAATATATAAATTAAAAAAAACTATTCACTTCACCCAAATAAAGTATGGAAATATAATAATTGTTCACCTCACAGAATTATCTATATGGGGTAAATATTTTGAATACTTTCATTTATAGTTACCCGTACGAAAATTTCCCATGGGAATTTTAGAAAAAAAACCCATGGAAAAACCATGGGTATTTGGAACACGTTCCCATGAAAAAACCATGAGTTTTCCATGAAAAAACCATGAGTTTTCCATGGAAAAACCATGAGTTTTCCATGGAAAAACCATGAGTTTTCCATGGAAAAACCATGAGTTTTCCATAGAAAAACCATGAGTTTTCCATGGAAAAAACATGAGTTTTCCATGGAAAAACCATGAGTTTTCCATGGAAAAACCATGAGTTTTCCATGGAAAAACCATGAGTTTTCCATGGAAAAACCATGAGTTTTCCATGGAAAACACATGAATTTCCCATGAAAAATCTTTAAGTTTTTCATGGAAAAGTGTTCTAAATACCATGGATATTCAATGATTTTCCATCCATGGAAAAACCATGGAATTTCCATAGGTATTAGGAACACCTTTCCAATGAAAACTTATGGATTTTTCATGGTAAAAAAGCATGATTTGTTTTCAAGTTTTTTATCTAATGTTATTTGAATTGTCATATTAAATCATAAAAGCAAATTTTATCCCACTATTATTGAGTTCTCTTAATCTATGAGATCGCTTTCTTCAAATAAAATCAATAAACAAAATAAAATTTAAATCTTGTTAAATCCTACAAATCTTTGAAAAATAATAGCTATAATGCACCTAAAACATCAAAACTTGACTTCCCCACAATATTTAATGCACGCATATGTATAACATACTGAAAATAAATAAAACAAAAAATTACAAGTAATATAATACTATAAGTGATATACATAGTGATAAATAATTGAAATTTATCAAATTGAACTTTTTACATTTACAAATTTTTACAAATATCAATTGAAATTTTTACAAAAAATAAAACAATTTACATGTTTATTATTTTATATTAACTATTTGATAAAAATAGTATATATAAATTTGATAATAACTTCAAGTTTTAACAAGTTAAAAAGAACCATCAATACAACATATTTAATTCAAAAAAACATCAAGCCCATTTATAAATGCGTCTGTACTGTATCTGTAGAAACAGGTAGATGTTAAACAAAGTACCATTCACATATTAATATTCATTTTTTTTCACCCTAGTTAGTCTCATTCTCCATTTTACCAATCTAGACAATACATCATACAACTATTATATACATTCTAACTAGTTTTCTTTATTTACTAATTCATTTTACTTATAATTATTATCTATTATAACTTACTTTATAATTAGGCATTATACACAATTATGAATGTTGCCAAATGTTAGGTATATAGAAAAAAGTAGCAATGAATATATCATTATTTATAAATACAAATTATTAGATTGTTACCTCTTTTTTGCCTAAGCTATCTGCATTATGTACAACATCGTTTATATTTCCAGTCAAACATTCCTGCCTATAATGTAACTTTATTAAAATGATTTATTCAAACTAATACATATATAAATGTTACCTGCATGTTAGAAACATTTATATAGAACAAACTTTTGTAATTAAAAAAAAAACTTACTTCTTCTTCTGAGCTATCTGCATGATGTACAACATCATTTACAAACCTGTTTTCTTCACGTCCTTCCATTTTTTAATATATTATAAAGCACAGGACTTGTTAATGAACGGCTAAATAAATAAATTAAAAATTTATATTTAAATGAAATGATAAGGTTAAAATGAAAAGATTTATACACATATATAAATTTTACCTGCATGTTAGTAACATTTATATAGAATAAGGCAGCAACAAATATAGCATAACTTATAAATTGTAATTTTAAGTAAAAACTTACTTCTTTGTCTGAGCTGTCTGCATGATGTACAACATTATTTATATTGTCAGTCAAACTTACCTGCTTATAATGCAGTAATTTAAATAAAATGATAAAGTTAAAATAAAAGAACTTACGCACATACCATTAAATTCAAAAATTTATTATATTTTTACTTCACTATTTAAAACATAACAAATATGTAATCTATAAAGTATAGTAATGTAAAAGCATAGTAAATATCAAAGTGTGTGCAAAAATTAATTTATTTTAACTAAAGACGAGCACTTTACATCAGTTAAATATAAACAAATAAAAATAATTGTATTATAATAAATAATAGTGTATTATTTATAAACATTGCTTTTATATGCTTATATTTAACTATGAAGTAAAATCTTGTGCATTAAGTAAATTCCTATACTGATACTTATAAAATATTACCACAGTTTTCCTTCTCCAACTAAGTGGTTCTTGGAACATCCTTACAAGTTGAATCCCAAAGATTACGTTTATATCTTTTCTGGTTTAAACTCAATTCACCATTTTATTTTGACAGCTTTTGAACTATTTTTAAAAATATTAAATGCATATAAAAACTGACGATATTATAAACAATATAAACGATGAACAACATTATTTATATTGCCAGTCAAACCTGTTGGCTTATAATGTAATAATTTAAATGAAATAATAAAGTAAATATAAAAGAATTTATAAACATTATTTATATTACATTATTTACATATTCTAATAATTCTAAAGAAAAAACTACAACAAAAAGACAAAAACAACTTAACAGAACTAAAATTGAATAGAACATTTATCATAAAAAAATGTTTTTTAATACTTAATGAACATTTACCATACAATAAACTTCAAGCATTTTTATGTAATCTAAGGCTATTATAAAAAAAAATAAAAAAGATCATACTAGTTATCTTTTGTACATTAGTTATCTAATCTTATTATCTTAGTTATCTAATCTTATCTAATATACTGCTTGTATATTAATATTTTAAATAAGTTTCTTTTCTGGTCTCAAACCAGTTTGAATTTTAAATAAAATTCAAACTGGTTTACTTGACATACTTGCTATACTATTGCAAGTTATGCAAAGTAAGCAAAGCTACTGGAAACAGTTAAAATAAGTATATGCATAAATGATATATAATAAAATATAATTAAAAATAATCCCTTTTATAATGCATTATAATATGATAAATATATCTAGTTGTTTATGTCTGTATGTTTAGTTAAATCATATAAATGTATTGCATTATAAAAAACATATAATTCATAGCCTTATTAAACACAGAAAAACAGAAGAATGCAGTAAGTATTGTTTTCTAATTTAAAAATAATCATAACTCTACGAGCTATGACGCCATCTTTAAAAGCGCATTTGTAACAACCATGGCGCAGCTTAAGCTATGAAAAAAAAAACATGGTTCACCCATGGAAATTCCATAGGATTTCAATTTTCATGAAATTTACCCATGGAAATTCCATGGAATTCCCGTTTTTCATGGGAAAACCATGGTTTACTCATGGAATTCCATGGGTTTTCCATGGAATATTTCCGTAAGGGTATTTATGAAAACTTTAAAAGTTATAAAAAGAAGACTGGATTCTAATAATTATTTAAATTATGTTATCTACATAATTATTAGAATCCATTTTAATTTTTTTTTTTTGTTTTTCTTTGTATATTAAGTTGAAATTTGTTTACTTTCATGGTAATACTTATAGGGCTGCAGAAATTATCTATTCTCTAGCAAAAAGCTACCATAAAAATGAAAATTTTCTTGAAGATAATTTGTACTCTGAACTTATGCATGCCAGGAAATCTTTAGCATTATTCCAACACCATGATGGAGTTTCAGGTACTTCAAGGAATCCAGTAGTTAACGATTATGGTCAGAGAATGTTCAATGCAATTAAATCTAGCATTAAAGTTATGCAATCATCTGCTAATTTTTTAATGACTAACAAGCAATTTCAACATTTGGACTCCATTGGCAATAATCCAATTTTTTTGTTTGGTGAAGATCGAATGTCATTTGATTCATTGCCTATAAAAAATCTTATTGTTATATCAGACAAACCGTCTCAAGTTGTTTTTTATAATTCTCTTGCACAAGAACGCAAACAGACTGTCTTCTTGCATGTTTCGGAACCATTACTAGAAGTATGAAAGTTAAATATTTTATAGGGTAGTATAAATTTACAATTAAGAGTTTTGAAAATTTACATATTTTTAACTTTTATATTCTTTTATATATATTTAGTGTATGTATGTATGTATGTATGTATGTATGTATGTATGTATGTATGTATGTATGTATGTATGTATGTATGTATGTATGTATGTATGTATGTATGTATGTATGTATGTATCTATGCATGTATGTATTTATGTATGTATGTATATATATATATATATATATGTATGTATACACATGCACACACACACACACACACACACACACACACATATATATATATATACATGTATGTATATATATGTGTGCATGTGTATACATACATACAAACATACTTACGTATATATACATATATATGTATGTATGTATACACATGCACACGCATATATATATATATATATATATATATATATATATATATATATATATATATATATATATATATATATATATATATGTAGATATACAACCCTCAGAAGGGTCGGCATTCAACATTGCCGACCCAGAAGCATACGAGTTTGGCAAAAAATCGCAGACCTCGTTTCTATGTTTTATGGTCAAACCTTTGTTTCTGCCGACCTGATGCCAACCTCACACAGATTAAGATCTTTAAATTATTGCCGACCTTATATTTCCTAAGATATGGTCACCATAAAAAAAATTCCTAAGACTGAGGGCTGTGTATATATATATATATATATATATATATATATATATATATATATATATATATATATATATATATATATATATATATATATATATATATATATATATATATATATATATGTATATATATATATATATATATATATATATATATATATATATATATATATATATATATATATATATATATAGATAGATAGATATATATAGATATATATAGATATATATAGATATATATAGATATATATAGATATATCTATATATATAATATAGATATAGATATAGATAGATAAGTAATAAAATCATTATTACATAGATAGTCTATATAATGTTGTTAGACAGATGTAATTATTCCTCATTGTATTTACAGATGCTGTTAGACAGGTGTTATTAGACATCTCAAAAACTGATGTTGTTACCCTGACCCCAATTACTCGTTATTTTTTTAATTCAGTTAAACTGAAATTTTGTTGACTATTCTATATAAAATGTTGTTGTCTTAGATTCTATATAAACCGTGTCAAGTACTAACTCATACCTATATAAAATGTTGTTTTGGTACAACAAACTGTTGTTTGATTCTGTAGATTAACAGTTTGTTGTACCAAAACAACATTTTATATAGGTATGAGTTAGCACTTAGTACGGTTAGCCCTTATGTCGAGGGCTAAACATGCCAAGTTCAACAAGCCTAGTATAGGCTGGAGAGCTATGACAAGTTTTTCTGCACGGCCTTAGTCCAAAAAACAAACATTTTTTGTAGTAGATCTGACTTGACAAACATGATAAAAAAAAATCTACTAGAAAATGATCCCTGACAACAATAATCCGATTCAAAGTAAATGGTCCCTAATATTTGGTTTTGGAACAACAAATTTTATGTTAAATTTGGATGCTTCAATAATTTTTAGGCCCAAAAAATTAATTTGAAAGTATGACCACTTATGTTTTTGCTCAATACACAAAGTTAAAAACCAAAAGGTAACAGAGAGATTGTGTTTATTTGGATAAGTGTTAAAAAAATGACCATATATTAGGAACCACTTCTTAAAAGTAAGCAACAAAAATGCAATAGGTACGGGTCAGTCTTAAAGGAAACTAAAGATGAATTGACATTCATCTTTTTTTGGTTTTGTGCTAATTACATATTAGTATGGCTATTAATATGATTATATATGAGATGTTTTGACCACAAACTATGAAACATTTTTTTGAATAATAAAAGAAGACAACCCTACTATACTTTTAACCACAATTTGACCTAATTGATTGCACTGTTGTTGGAGATAAATTCAGTTTGATTAAAGCACCATTTTGCTACAATTAAGGCAACTGGTTTCCTAGATAGGAAAACTTTGATTTTTTAATCGAAACTGCTCTCTTTTTTTAAAATACCCAGTAAAATCAACAGAAATCAATTTAAAATTATTTTCATCTTTGCAGTGATAATTTAAACAATTCATTTAAAACATATCATAGGATTAAAATTTCCTGGGCAAAACGAAATTCTACAGATAATAAATTATACAATTGCTTTAACTATTATGACATTCTTTTATTTTGTTAATAAAAAAACACAAAATAAAGTATTATTTTTGAGGTTTATGATTGCAACTATTTATTTTCGAATTGCGCCTGAATTAATTCTTCAAACTTTTGATTTTATCAGTGATTAAACTTTATAACCTACATAACCCACACAAAAAACTATATAACCCATAGAAGTATAGTTTACACAATGCAATTAATAAAGTGTGAACACTAAAGTAGATTACCCAAAAAAAAAAGATGCAAAAAAGATTTAATTTAATGGTGCATGTGCATTTTTTGGTATATAACTTTCAAAATCTCTCAAAGCGTAGAAAATAAAACATTTTACTAGGAAAATGTAAAATATAGCCATGAGAAATTTTGTTTCCAAAATTTATGCAAGTGTTCCCATAAAGGTACTATTTCAATTTTGGAAATTATTTTTTGTAGTGTTTGCCAAGAGTATGTATGTATATATATATATATATATATATATATATATATATATATATATATATATATATATATATATATATATATATATATATATATATATATATATATATATATATATATTAGAGATGTGCCGGAACCAGTTTATGCCGAGTCTCCGATTCCGGGTACCCGGCTGAAAAAACTGGGTCCGAGTCCGGGTACTCGGCACCAAGTCCATTTTTTAAAAGTTAAAATAAAAATTTGTGAAATCTCTAGGGCTGAACTATTCACACAAAATACGCTTTTTACGCTAACTAACAAAAAGTTATGTGGCCGACGTACTATTTAGCAAAACCATGCAATGCAGGGAAAGAGGCCTGAGTTGCAGGGCCTAACTATTTTAAAAAGTTGTGCAACAGTTTTTTAACAACTATATTTAGTTTAAAATTATTTTTCTTTCCTGGTGGAGCGGGCCTAAATAATATTTTGTGGGGAAAGGGGCAAAATTTGAAGTTCCGCCATTGAAAGTTATATTATGGAAAGCAAAAGATTAAGAAATATAAAGAATTGCAAAAAAAGGTAGACCTTCTCGACTGTACAGTGAATAAAATAAAACAAATAAAAAGAACTTAAACAACACTTATTTGCTGTATCTTATTTTAATTGTTTTATTAACTTTAGATTGTAATGCACAAACATTAGGTATTCTCCGTTATCTGCTTTTAGTCTGCTCCTTGTTGCT